CATTCATTCATTCATTCATTCATTCATTCATTCATTCACTATTTATCTTATAAGCAAGATAATGTAGACATCATATAGCTCTATTAGTTGTGCTTTCTTGTCTCATACGCTATAAATTCAGTAACTACAATTTTATCTTCACTACTAGAAAGTATATTTAGAGACATTTAATTTTTTTCTAGTTTAGTGATATGCTTCGGATATAGTGTATAATATATCACTTTTAATGGTCTTCAAGACTTGTAAAAATAAAGCATAGACATGATGGTCAGTGAACGCAATCAGTGCCAGCCATTGACTAAATTTGATTGGTTGGTTGCAAATGACATCATCATAATCATTGTCAATCATCTGTTTTAGTGCAACCTTTAAACTGGCCAATGAATGACTATATTTTAATTCCTATGGTTCTGATTTGATTGGCCACATAATGATGTGATGTTTGAATACATTTGCATGACTAATATTAACGCCATATTTTTTAACCCAAATTTTGGGTGCAACATGAATTTTGTGAAATTGTATGTATTTGTCTATATTGATCTTGAGCTAAAGTTTAAGAAATCTTACAGGGGGTTATTTTAGAAAAGGAGACAAAAGTTCACTTTAGTGCTCAAAAATTTAAACAGATCATTGTTCCATACTGGTTATCATAGTTGGAAAGTGCGTGAGTTTATAATAATAATTTTATTTTACTTTTTACAGTCAAGACAGATCAAGAGTGCTTAACTAAAAGTTGTAACTTAAATAACTAAACCAATTACGAGCAAATGTGTCTCCATGGACAATTTTATGCACAGCGTCTCAAGTTCATGGTTTTATTTAATTCCAGATTCAGAAATACAATGATGAATTGCAAGGTGTGAGAACGCATGGATTTTCGTCTATAACATTCAGTGGCAATATTGGTGCTCCAATAGAACCCAGAACAGGTTGTGCCAGTTATACACTCAATGATGACGACCGTGAACAAGTGAGTGTCATATTTCAATGCAAGCCCAAAATGTATGTAATATGTGGAGTACTAGTAATCAAATCAACCAATCAAATGAAATGGTTTTACATAAACAGCCAATTAGATTTACTGTTTAAACCCCCCAAAGCATGTAGGCCATTGCCATATAAACCAAAGTTACATTTTTCTGTACTGAGTATATTACTGCATGTACCGGTATAAGCAATGCATTATGGGACAGACACTCCGATTGATTATAAGAAATATTATTATTATCACCATGGAAACTCACTAAATCAATGTAAAGTTTTTTATTATTATCAATAATAATACTAACAATTTTTTATCCCATGTCACTAAGCACAATTTTTAGATATGAAACCATAGAAACCAGTGGTGTGAAAATGCCAATTTTGACCATTGTTCATTACATCTTGGACTTATGTATTTTGAACAATTGTCTGGAGACCCTAATTTTTGTTTTCATTTTCGGTATTCTTATGCAGAGTTTAGAGTTGAGTTGGCTAAAATTTTCAGGATAAAAATTTATAAAATGGTTATAGGACATGACATATAATCTTGAATTTGGTGTTAATCTCCTTATGTGCACACCAAAAGCAGAATATGAAACGGCAATGTATGACAGAAGTAATGGTAATGTAATGGAATGGAATGGAATGCATTATAACATTCCTGACTATAAAGGATTGACATGTTGATCACTCCAAGGCATACCAACTTGTAAAATACTTTATTTTAGCTGGAATTAATTTTCACTGAAAAGACTTTTTGGGTATTTTGTATAGAATTTATTTTCACTAATTTTTGATGAGTTGAATGTAAAATATAGGAAAAAAGGTATATTCGCTGGATTTTATTTTCACTGAATCATTCCTTCAGCGAAAATTATTTCCTAGCGAAAATAAAAACAGTTAACATGGACATATAATATATCCATCTATTCTTTCTTCTCAGGTGAGAGCTCTTAGATTATGGGCATCTAAACAGTCTAATCTTAGGACTTCTACTGTGAAATGCACGTTTGCTGATGTTATTGTTGGTCAGTTCTTTGATGTAGTTTGCCAAGTTGTTGGGCTGAAGCTCATGGAAGAGAACTGTTGTGTCTTATTTAAAGTGTGGGATGGCACAACTTGTCAGAGGTAGGAATTCATCATTTATTGACTCAAAAAAAAAATAGTTTTTTAATTGCTTGATGACTATGTGCCACTGCAAGGTTTGACCATGATGTGACTACAGTGTATGTCTCAGATCCAATGTGTATATATACAATATCATTTATATAACCAAAACGGGATACCAGACTATCTTGGGATTGCTAATAAATCTATTCTATTCTATTCTATTCTATTCTATTCTATTCTATTCTATTCTATTCTATTCTATTCTATTCTATTCTATTCTA